TAGGATAATGGCCGAGGCTCAAACAATGACATATCTTTGAACTGTTTATGTTGGAATATAGAAGGTTTTTGTAATAAGACATTTGATACTGAACTTAAAACTTTTTTACATCAATACGATATAGTTGTATTTTTAGAAACTTGGCTAACTGACCAATCACATGTTGAATCCTTTTACCAGAATATGATTTATATTTTGTATCAGGTATAAAACATGCATTAGCAGGAAGAGCAATGGCAGGTATTGTTGTTTTTATTAGAAAATCATTTAGCAAGAATGTGACACGAGTCTTTCATTATTGTGATTTTGGTGTATTCCTAAAATTAGATGAGAATGTTTGTAAATGTGATAAGAGTATAATTATGGGTTTATATATTTTACCTCCGATATCTTCCCCATTTTATAGTGGGGAGAAGTCGGAAAGGTATTGATATGTTAGAAGACATTATTATTAATTTGATGCAAGATGTCAATGCAGAACTTATTATCTGTGGAGATTTAAATGCACGAACAGCTGATAGAAGCGACTGTTTGTATACATGTAAATATTCTTTTGATATAGATGCATATGCTGATATTTTTGAAGACAATACTTTAGGTCCAAGAATTTCTTGTGATAAAAAAGTTAACACATTTGGTATAGATTTATTAGAATTATGTAAAACGTATATGTTACGAATAGCAAATGGACGGTTGTGTAGAGATCAAAACAAAGGGGATTTTACATTTGTTAGTCACCAAGGTTGCAGTGTTATTGATTATTTGTTATTTTCGGATAGAATTTTAGAATTCATAACTGATTTTAATATTGAACATAGAACTGAGTCGTCGCATTTGCCATTAAGTTTTGAAATTGAATGTCAAAATATCGACAGGGCTATAGTAAATAAGGTTTTTGATAAACATACCAAAAGAAACAGGTATATTTTTACAGACACCAATATAACTACATTTCGTGAAAAATTGGCAGAGATTTTATCGCCAGATTTTATAAATCAATATATGGTAGAAATAGTAGATAATTCGAAACCATTAACTGAAATAATATCTAAATTTAATGATGTACTTTATTACAGCGGCAAATGTTGTTTAAAAAGTTCAAAAATTAATCATAACACACAGCCTAAATGGTTTGATAAAGAATGCAAATCGTTAAAGTATTTAAAAAATAACAGACTTCGTATGTTTAGGAGAAATAGATCGGAAGAAAATTTGAATAATTATTTATCGGCTAAAAACACATTTAAACAGACGTGTAATTTTAAACAAAAAGAATTTTACAATAAACAATTAGACGAGCTTATAGATTCGTCAAATAGTACAAAATCATTCTGGCATAAACTTAAAGGTATGTGTAATAAGAAAGCACATAGTTCAAACTCGATTACTTTAAACGAATGGAAAAATCATTTTGAATCTTTATTTAATGTTATTAATATTAACTATGAAAATTTTGAAGAGATTGATTCAATTCTACCAGAGCATATAGATAATGATATAGAGTTTTCAATTTTTATATCGGAAATTACAGACGAAGAAATCTTAAGGGCTGTAAAAGAACTTAAAAGAGGAACTTCGGGGGGTGAAGATGATATTATTCCAGAATTTTTTATTAACGGTATTGATTTATTGATTCCTTTAGTTAATAAGATATTTAATAGATTATACAATAATGGTGATTTTCCGGAATCATGGAGTAAGGCAATTATTGTTACTATACATAAAAAAGGAAATATAAATTCCACTGATAATTATAGAGGTATTTCTCTTTTAAATATATTTAGCAAGATTTATACTAGTATTTTGACACGGAGACTAACTTTTTATGTTAATATCTTTAATAAAATTAGTGAACCACAAGCTGGATTCCGAGAAGGTTACTCGACAATTGATAATGTTTATGTACTTCAAGCAGTTATTGACAAACAGTTATCAAAGCCAGGTGGTAAACTCTATGTAGCATTTATTGATTTTATGAAATGTTTCGATTTGATAAATAGACATAATATTTGGCAAGCTTTAAAACAAGCCGGTGTAAAAGGTAAATTATATAATGCAATATTTGGTATGTATCGGTCGGTGCAGGCTTGTGTTAGAACTGATGAAGGGCTAACTGAATATTTCAGCTGTCCCATAGGTCTAAAACAAGGTTGCATGGCTTCGCCAATTCTATTTTTAGTTTTTATTGATGAATTAATTAAACGAATTGAAAATAGTGGAATCAGAGGTATCCAGCTGTTCCCAGATACAACTGAGTTATCATCTTTATTATTTGCAGATGATTTGGCCTTAGCTGCAAATACTGTTGCTAGCCTTTAGAAGTAATTAAATTTGGCAAAAAATTTCTGTGATGAAAAAAATGTGAAAGAAACTGTTAATCCTGTAAAATCAAAAGTAGTGGTCTTGAAGAATGGTGGGAAATTAGCGAAAGGTGGGAAATGGTTTTATGATAATCAAATTAGTGAAGTTGTAAGCAATTTTAGTTATGTAAGTGTAACATTAACACAACAGTTGTCCTTAAACAGAATGGCTAGTGAACAAGCGTCTAAAGCAAAAAGAGTACTTATTTCAATACTTTCGCAATTATATGACTACGGACAGTTAACCCCAAAAGTATTTTTTTAATATTTTTGACACAAAAATTAGTCCTATTTTACTTTATGGATAACAAATATGGGGTATACATAAGTTAGTACAGCCAGAGTTAGTGCATAACTATGCATGTAAAAGATATTTATGTGTGAAAGTAAAAACAATTAATGCAGGTGTCCTAGGTGACTGTGGGAGATTTCCTATGTTTATAAATTCTGCTAAAAGAGCTGTAAGATATTGGTGTAAAATACTTAAAATGGGTGAACACAGATTAGTTAAAAAATGCTATTTTATGCAGTTGTTTTTGGATAGTACGGGGCAAACTAACTGGGTGTACTGGTATTCGTAATTTATTATGTAAAAATGGTTTTGGCTACATTTGGTATAATCAAACAGTCAATAATGAAGACTATTTCATAAATTCTTTTGTACAAAAATTAAAGGACCAATATCTACAAGAATGGCAAACAATTATAAATGATAGTTCTAAATTGTATGCGTATAGACAGTTTAAATGCAATATCGAACATGAATATTACTTAACAGTAGTGACAATTAGAAAATTCAGAAATGCTCTTGCCAAACTTCGGTTGTCCTCCCATGATTTAGAAATTGAAAAAGGTAGATACCAGAATATTTTAAGAGAACAAAGGATATGTAAATTATGTCACGAAGCAATTGGAAATGAATATCATTTTGTTTTAGTTTGTAAAAAATTGTCTTTGATTAGAGAAAAATACATTGACAAAAAATTCTTTAATAATCCTAATAATCATAAATTTAATGTTCTAATGTGCTCTCGCTCTGATAATGTTATAACAAATTTAGCTATGTATGCATATTATGCATTCAAAGAGAGAAATGATATATTAAGTAATACAGATACTGACAGTTAGAAATCATTAGGATATACTTACTATATTGTTGAGATCACATTCTTGGAATCATTTTCTATGTTATAACACAGATACTTAAATTTGAAATTATTTTTATAAAATATTTGAGAATATGCTTATAATATCATGAATGTTACTTTAAGGTATTGTTTAGTTTGTTGTTTTCAATTTTGAATACGTTTGTACAGTGATGAGATATATGGATTTACTTTTCATTTCGGGCAATGTTGTACAAAGCTTAAGACTGATCAAAACACTATTGCCTTTTATGTTAAGGCTATAGTATGTTTTCCTTATTTTGCAATGAATAGCCATAAGTGAAGATCTTATGTTTTGTTTTTCGTTAAGATCGACACGCATTTTGGTAAATTATTCAACAATAGTTCTGTGTGTTTCAATATAAACATTATTAGGAATTACATTGATCTGTACTGACACCAGTCAAGAAATTATATGTAAATGTATATATTGTTGTAATGGGCCGGTGGCCAATATCAATAAATAAATTGTCATTGTCATTGTCATTGTCATTGTCAAGTGTGGCACTAAGGAAATTAACACGCATAATTTTAAAGAAATACTGCGTATCCATTTGAATACAAATAAAGCTGAACACTAAGCTAATTCAAATTTGTTTTAAGAAGTTTTTAGTTTGTATTCTTCCTTGAATTTTCTTTAGAATACCAATCATTCAAGTAATGGTCAGGCAGTTTCTGATGTGTCGTTACTTTTAGCCATTTAATGTTAGGATACTATTAAAGCCACATACAACTAATATGTTTTTGATATTTATTAATCATTGCAATTTGTTATTTTGTACAGGATTTAAATTGTTATATCGATTAAGTAATAAAATATAGCTGATAATTTGTTTGCCTTGGGGTAAATCAAATTTGACCTTAAAGCAATCATTCTTGTTTTTTATGTCAATAATCAATGGTTGATCTCCAATTTCACCAAAGTAAATGTTATTGTGTGTGCCTGTTTAAACATTTAAAACAAAATTCAGAAATTTGAATTGTAATCTTGAAATCGATCATTTCGAAGTTGCCACATCCCCATATTTCGCATCCGTACAATAATGTTGACTTAACTGTCTTCATGAAAAGTTTTATTTGCAAATCTACTGGCATTAATAAATATTTTGCTTTCTTTAATGAGGGAATATATAGCTCGTTTAACTTGTTGTGCTATAGCATGTTTTGCATTTAAAAAAGAATCACCGTTTTCACATTTAAATGTTTATGGCTACTTACCGCTTTCTTTTTCTTCCTGTACGCATCCTCTCCTGTATAATACTCTTACTTTGAACAAAAGAAGATGACGGGGGTTTGCCACTTAGTGACGATTGCACCCGAAATCCGAAACCAAAACTTAAGTGTCAATACAATACAATACAATATCTTTCCTTCTCTGAACAATAGGTACATAACAAAACACTTATGAACTTTAAACAAAGGGAAAGCTAGATGGTCAGCTATTAGGTTATGAGTGTTTTTTTCCGCACACGTGTCCACATTGTCAAATAAAAGCTAGGGTATTTGCGAGCTAGTCTTATTTGTGAGCGGGATTCTGTAATAAGGACATACTTGAACAGTGTTGACATAATCATGGCTTCTCAAATGACCTTTCTACTTTCCGTACTTTGTATCTTGTATCTTCACGGATCAGGTAAAAGTCTTGCCTTTTTTTCTTCAAAATGTTACAATAAACTTCCAAAATTTGAAATTGAAATAATTGCATTTTTAAAAAAAAAAAATATGCATTCAATATCAGTTTTATTTTTAAGATTTATTGATGCAAAAGAAACATTGTTTTATTTTGAATATATACGCTGAATATTGGTTTCCTTTTACAAATAAATACATTGTGCAATAATTACATTGTGCTATTGCTTGAGCAATAAAAAACTTAAGACAGTTGGCAGTTGTGGCATTTTTTGTAGAGTGAATTAACATTTTTTTTGGTATTTATATTGATCTAATTCATCTACTGACTATCTATAATAATTGAAATGTATCATTATATATCAGCTAAAATAAAATTAACTGTAGAACATATCGTCTTAAATGAGACAGGCCTACCGTTGCTATTATTGTTTTTACATTCTTGCAGTACATTTTAATGGAAATTGTTGTTTTCGTGCAAAAAAAACAGCACTGTTTTGTATTGTATTGTCAAAGATGAAAATGACATTTATTGAATATAATTGGATTGATTTTTAGATATTCATTTCATTCTTAAAAGTGTTATTTAAAAAGGAGTAAGAGCACAACACTGAATATCGTATTCCGGTATATACCGGACAAGGTGCTTGAATGATTAAATGCTAAAATCTTGCCGTTTTCCCCAACGGAATGAACTGTAAAAGGTCTAATTCATCTTTTCACACCGATTTTTGTATGTAAATGCATGAAAAATGTAATAATCTGCAGGGAAAAAAACGAAATTTGTCTATTATGTTATCATGAATTTTGCAAAAGTGTCTAGAGGTACTGTCCAAATCATGTAATGAGTTAAATCCTTTAAAAAGTAGTTAGAACCAAAAAAGTACAAACATATTACAACAAAAAAAAATAACATTAAAACAACCATAGCTTCAATAAGGTTGAAAATATAAATAAATAAATAAATAAATAATAACAAACAAACAACAACAACAAAAATACAAGGATTTTTGCGGTCTCGATCTAACAACAATTAGGACATGTTGTAGAAATTATTACACCGTAATTTACCCTTTTGCTAATTATAATTAACAAATTTATTGTATAGACATAATTAATTTTCAACAAATCTTACTGAGTACATCTCACGTGCCTTACCAAAAAACTGATCTAATATTATATATCGTGTATCAGTATACAATTGTCGGATTAATCAGATCAATCAATACTGGTTTTTTAAAATACTGTTTTTTGAAATACTATCTTTTTTTTTAATTTTAAAGTTGTATTGCACTGGTTATAGTTGAGATTTTTCAAACTAAAATGTCTTCATTATTGATACACTCATTATAGACTTGACATAGATTTGTTTATCTTTTTACAGTTGATATTAACTAAACTTTTAAGCATAACAAATCGAAATAAAAATAACCCAACTGACTATACTGAATAAGTAATGAAAGCAAGCACTAAGTCGTCTCACTTGTAAACTAAAATTAAGACTCACAGCGAGTTTGTAAATGATTTTTGTTTTGCGTCCGCCCTGCGCCTATTTCTTCTGTTCTTTAATTTCATGTGTAATCATGTAGATATTGAAGGAAATACAATGTTTAACGAAGATGGAAATAATTATCTAAGAAATTTCATACGATAAAAGATAATTTGTATTTTGAAGAATGTGTGTACACTGTCAGCATATTTTTGACTTTTTGATGGTGATTATATGTAATTTCATTTATTTATATTACATGTATAAAAGATAAAATCCTTTGTGAATTATTAAAATGTGATCAGAATTGTTAAATGTTACATATATTCTACATATATCCCTTGTCATATTTAATTATGAATTGTTTCAGGTGTATCTGCTTTGGATTGTTACTCTTGTACAAACTGTAACGATCCATTTAAGGCGTCTGGCGTGTCAACTATGTCATGTAGTATATCGTGTATGAAGATCAAAGGTGAAAGGGGTGAGTATGAACTAAAACACGCATTACTTCAAATTTCTACATAACCAGTTTTAGAGCCAAGCCAGTTTTGCTTTATTATTATCACCGAATTTTCGCAAGATAGCTCCTTACATGAAATTAACCAAGTCCTTGGCAGGATTCAGACTCACAGCAGTGAGGGCAAGGGATTTGAAATCAACGTACTTTATCACTCGACCATGGGCTCCCCATTGCAACATTAAGTATTGTAATTGTTTTTTTCGAGCAACTGCTGCGTAAAATAGTGTAATTATTTTTTTTTAGACGATTGAGTTTGCCATTTTATCAAATATTAAAAATATTCCTGTTAAGGTGCTTCGGCCCTAGACGTTTTACTGCATGGAACTGTAATAAGCACCGCCAAATTGTAACTACCGAATAAATAAAAAAAATGCCTGTCCAAAATGTCCCACTTGCATCGAAATTTCGATAAATAAGAGAAATTGTGTTGAACGACTTTTCATTCTAATCAGCTGAGAAAATAAGTACATGTTTACGGTATGACACTCACTGTGTAGATTTTTTTTTTAAGTATTTCAAATATACAATTTAATTCACAAAAATCTATTAAAGGCCACTTATCTTGATTTTGTCAATTAAAGACATACACTAGCACTGTAAATAATTACAGGTTAATATACGAGTTTTATATGACCTGGTAAAATTAGTTTTATATCTATGTGTAATTGCGGTATAACGTTTGTTGTTGTCTGAAGCAGAATATCTCAAGCGGCGCACAGTGTAACGGTTGTTTATAGTAAAAGAATATTATACCTTTCCGGGACTGGTTTATCTTTCAATCTAGACAAAACCACTGCTAATTTTGGGAAATTTTCAAAAAATTACTTACTAAGAAGCGAACAATGCTGGACAATGATCAGACGAATGTACCGACTGATCTTGGTCTGCACTGGTCATACAGGTAGAATTCGTTGCAGCCACCGTTTGATCTAACCGTACCTTAATAAAATCTGTCACGGCATAATACAAGTCTTGAATCACTATTGTATATACAGTGTATTCTTGTTATTTTTTTTCTTTTCATGTCATTTCTTCATTAATGATTTCCGTAACCGCTTTATAAACATTGTTTTAATACAAAAAATACAAACATTGAAAATTAATCATTCGTTTTCTTTTACGCATTTTAGATGGAAACCAATTTGTTTTAAGAAGTTGCGGAACTTTGGATGTAGACAAATGTGAGAAACAAAAGTACGAAGGTGTCGATGTTGAGGCATGCATGTGTAAAGGCAACTTGTGCAATGGTGCAGATGACATAAAGATGCGCCTCACTTTGCCGATCATTTGCGCGATTGTCCTCGCGATGGCGAGAAAACTTATCTTTTAAATCATTTTATGAATATATGAATAATGAATAAACAGTTATTACAATATTGTTTAACTAACATTTGTGTCATATTATATAGTTGTATTGGAATATATAAATTAAAGTTACAACAAACAAATAATGTATTCTGATTATTCGTAGGGTTTTTACTATTTTCATGCGTATGTTTCACATGATCTAAAGAGAAATTATTGAGAAAAATATATTTATTAATTTCAATATAAATTTATGGAGTTACATGCCAGCATGCTATGTACATACACTGAATAACATAAACAAAGCAATGTCGATCAACATTACTGTACATGTATGATGCACGAAAAGAGTTTGAACGTTAAACCCTGCCAGGTCTGAACTTTAAAAAGCTGTACATCTACTTCGTCAGAAAAAATATCCTAGATCAATATACCCGTGTTATTTTTTATTTAATGTCTAGTAATTGAGTTCCGAAATCAGTTTCAGCCCCCTTTTTCCTACAAACACTACAATTGATAAACATATTCATAGTCATGAACACATTAGTTTTGAGTTTTGGAAAAGAAAAACAAAATGTGATTTTATAGATAACAAGTCTATTATTGCTGATATCTTTTCAAGTAAGACATCCGTTTTGTTAAGATATAAATCATATGATATATAATGAACAAAGATGATAATGAGAATAATAGATGAAACAATTAATTAAAGATGGAAAATCACTCTTCATGAAGTCATTATCTTGTCCATATATCACTTGATATAATCACTTGATATACAATAAGCGATAAAGGTCTTTGGTGAAGCCTACTTGTTTCAAGTGTTATTCTGCTTCAAAAATTTAGATAACAAATAGGAGTACACAAAAATAAATCCGGGTTCACCGACATATTTATCCACTTGAAGAACAGAATAATGTAAAGAAAACCATATTCTTTATCACTCGTTTTCACTAATATAATATGAAATTCAACAAGTAAGCAATGACTGATTGAAATCGTAGTTACATAAATGATCTGAAACTATGAATCTATTCGGAGGCTAATCAAATGAGACAATAAAAATTAAAAACAAGATATTTTCAAAAGTGAAGATTTACCGGGAATTCCAACATTTATACACAGCGACATTATGACAAGGAAGAAACAATCGCACGGAAGCTTGTTATCTTATAAGAGGTTAGAGATCAGTAAAAGTTCTGCACAAAAAGTATTGACATATGAACAGTTCTTATACGCTCGGTGCCCAAGTTATTGACCAAGGACGACATGAATGATAAAAAAGCCTTCATGTCGGGTGAGAATTTCATGGAATCTCGTTGACGTCAAATTACGTCAAAACTTGCACCGCTACCTTTGTCCTGCACAGTTTTCATGTATGTTACTTAAAATATAGAAAAGAATAAATTTGTGCATGCAAGTGAAAATATACTGAATATTTGGATACGGTTTTTATTATGCGAACCTTTATGACAAACCTAGCCTGTGATTTAGGCGTTGATAGTTTTTGCTTATTTATAACATTTTTTTTCTTTATTCATAACATATGTGCTATTCCGTATTCGTTCGTCGTTTTGATAGTATCGATTTGCCAAACAGAAACATAAAAAAAAATCGACAGACTGAAACCCAGGCTAGGACAAATCTTGTATCTTCGATTTCATTTACAGTAAATGAAACAAATAAGCATAAGTCGTGCTTACTTCTGTGCATTTTATTGTCTTATCAAAATGATGTTCTGTTTGGTCTAAATGTTCTCTTTTGTCTAACATGCTAACAAGTAAAATTTAAGGAATTTAAATACATAATAAATTGTTTCTTGACAGAGATTAAATCACATATCAAAGTTTGAAGCGTGTTGCATGTATTATCTGATTTAATCTCAAGGAATCTCAAGGAATAAAAAAAGAAAAAAAAAACAGAATAAGAATCAAAAGTTTACTTTAATTAGCTTGTCTGCGAGGTCACAATTGTTCTACAATAACATTCATGGCACTTTTTCTACACCAATATCAGTTTTATAGGATTATTCTTGCATATCAGACGGGATTATGTACTGTTTACACCGGTGCTAGAAGAACCTGCCACACCCCAACCCCGTGCAGAGCTTCGTTCCCGCAATAAACCCAGTTACCCATGAGCTAGACATTACGGTATGTGCGTGTAGCCGATGAAAGATCCTTTTAAACCTATATGGACTGTTTAATTGTATCATTAGCTAAGATGTTGACATTTCTTAAATAAAAGTCAGTGGTATATGAGTTTGTGTACGTGACCTTAATTACAGGAATATATGTTTGCTACCATACACGCACTTGCTCCAAAATTTAAAAGCATGAATCATCTCCTTCAAGCTTTTGTTTTTATGCTTCAATTTGTTTCTATTCTTCACTTGTACCATCTGATTCCTGATCTGTTTGTCCCTGAAAGAAATCAAAACAAAGGTTCAATGTTAAAACATCTTTTTTTCAAATCCCCTCTATAACTTATTGAAAATTCGAGGTTTTAAAATTTAATCCCCTTCCACAAAGCTGGGAATTTTAGGAATGGCCTCCGATTGTCAGTTCCTCAATCCATCCGTCTCTCCGCACTCACAGAACAAAAATTATGTGGCTAGAGGGACACTACGTAACTGCTCTTTCTCTTTGATGTGATTCATGCTTTTATGTGGATATTTTCTTTTGTGTGGCTAAAAAGAACGACAGAGAGAACAATAGAGTAGCCCCATTATTACTCTCCTGTTAGAACGTCCGTCTTTCCGTCCGTAACATTTTCGTGTCCGCTCCATAACTTTTAAACTACTGAATCATGTGATGAGCAAGTGAGTCTATGATATGCATGGCACAACATCAAGGTCATGGTTGGTTAAAGATCAAGAATTACACATTCATGTCCGCTGCGGAAGTTGATTTAGCATTAGACTGCCTTGTTATATTTAGTTTAAACTAGATGACGCTTCAACCAGATTTACGATATCAACATAAGTATTGTCATCAATTTGTATCTACGATATTTATTTGAAGATTGTTAGTATATTTGGCATTCGGAAGTTGTTTAACTTTTTATTTTCTAAATTGCAGCATGAATAACTCTATGTATATGTTAGTGTTCATCCGTGCTGTTCTTCAGAAATTAGAAACTTCGACGGGAGCGATAGCGACAGGAGAATGTTTCTAATTTCTGTAGAACAGCTACAAATGAATTCTAACATCAATAAAAATCACTTTTAATATTACGTCACTACCAGTCTGCTGTATTAAACAGTGTTTTAATTTGACCTTATAAATATGCATGTTTTACGTTACTATGCATGTACCCCTGTGTTTCAGATGGGAAATATGGAGGACGGCATAATATGGCTGATGCGATTAAATTGAAACATTTACTTTCGACAAACATTTTTGATGAATTGGACAATTGATTTTCATTAGCTAATATCAGATAATGATCTATACATGTATACACTTACTGTCATGTGTTAAGACGAGGTCACGAAACGTATTTTCAAAAAAAAAAACAAAAAAAAAACATTATGCCTACTTTCACTTTCTGTCTAAAGTGACTACAAATTAATTAAGACCTTTTCCTACATTCGTAACAAAAAATAGTAATTGACATTTTGTATTGGTTTTTACTTTTACATGTACAGTATCTTTTTCGCCACGGCGTGGATTTTAATCTGAACTGCATGTATATCCTTTATCAATAAATGCAAAGTTAATGTTGGTTGACCTTTTGACGTGATTTTTACCTAATAAATATTCAAAAGCTGCCCACGAAAGGGCATGTGCAAAATTATGCAAATTACTATTTTTACAAACCACCATCGACTATGAATTGTATTTGATATAGTAGCGACTTTTGTTCATAGATCTATGAAAATTAACGCACACAATTTTTATGAAATACAGCGCTTTCATTGGATGACAAATAAAATTGGACACTAATGGTTATGTATGACACTTTTCAATCATGTGATGCTTTGTAAATATTTGTAAAGTTTTTTTTATTTGATTTGATCCATTCTTGTTTGAATATTTTGATCATTGAAAAACAAACAATATCTTTCTCCCCGAGGAATCCTATTTCTACTCAATCTACTAGTTTGGATTTTTAGAGAAAGGCCATTCATTCTTAATCTACAAAAATAAAATCTAAAACGCCTAGGTAGTATATTTAAATAACATTCATTTTCAAAGCAAGATTCAACATTCCTATATATATGTTACAAGGAATGTGTGTGACCAGGGATTTCACATAATCCCTGAAATGTAGGGATTTTATGTAATCCCCATCTACATAAATTCTGTCAGGGAATACATGTAAACTTTATGTTGTAATAATAATAATTGTTATAAAACAAAGATGCTGTTTGCATAAAACTTTTGTTGTTAATAATTAAAGATGATGGTCATTGAATGTAACAATTTCATCGCTAATCAACATGATCTGTATCAGCAATCGAGTCAGGGAATTTGTGTGAAAATGAAATAATAGTTTAGGAATTTCATGTCATCCCTAGCGAAATCAAGGATTACACGTATTCCCTATAATCACTAGGGATTACGTGAATTCCCCGACTTGGTTAGAGATTACGTGAAATCCCTGGTTACACACATTCCCTGTAACATATATACAATTCAATATGATCGCACATAAGTTGTTATTTTCACTTTTTTTCTTCGTTTGTTGTGTTATCATTACCTATTTCACTTTTTATAAGTGTAGTTATGTAATTATTTCATGTTAGTAACTAGTGTAATTTTACGTGTTGTTACATTATATTATACTTTACTTTAACAATTTACAGGAAAGAAATCTACATAAGTCTTTGACTTTATATAATGTTGTTGTATCATAGTTGTATATGTTTGCATTATATGAGATAAATACTGTTTAAACCAAAAAGTAAAATCAAACTTTAAAAAAAGCAAACTATTATATATAGATTAGCCGATGATAATTTAGAATTCCTTTCCCCTGCTTAGCGAATCCTTTGAAATTTACAACTGACGTTTATTATTTTGTAACTTTCTATATATTCGTTAACTTGTTTAAGTTTAAAAATGTATGTGTGCTAATGGCCAAAGATAATCTTCATTGTCGATTTGCCAATAAACTTACTTGAAAGTTGTTTAAAATATGATATACAGTAGATCTATGTTAGTAATATATGATGAAAATTCATGTTATGTCAGAAAAATGTTACTGTGAACCATAAATCGCTCTTCAAAAATTATGTGTTTGTTTTGTTTAACAGTTTACCGAATGTTTCTACGGTGGCACAAAGGTGCGTTTTTATTTATCTCCTGCGCACAAGATGCTATGTCTTGGGAACGAGATAGTATCTCGTGCGCACGGATTGATTATCTTGTGGCTACGACTTAGTAACTCGTCGCCACGAAATAGTATCTCGTGCGCACGACTATGTAGTGATGCCAGCACAATTATGTGTTTAGAATTGAGTACCGCTCAAGCCAGTGGTAGGGGGCGTGAGGGATGTTGCACATATTCATTATCCCTCATGTACAGTCTCAATCAAACCGAGTCTGCAATTCTCTTGTAATTTTGTTGTGATTAATGCTTCCGAGGGATACTTTGTTTCCAGATTATTATACTTCACAACAGCAGGTACCAAGTCCTGTTGTGACAGCTGTAAAATTTTGCCCCGTACTTCACTTCAGTCAATTCTCTTGTAATTTTGTTGTGATTAATGTTTCCGAGGGATCACTTTGTTTCCAGATTTTTGATTATCTCGTGGCCACGAATTAGTATCTCGTGCTCACGACATACCTTATCTCGTGCGCACCACTTAATTATCTCGTGGCCATGACTAAGTAACTTGTGGCCACGACATAGAATCTTGTGCGCTCGAGATGAATAAAAACACACACACATCACACACATCACACCTCTGTGCCACCATATGTTTTCTGACAGTGTTCAAAATTATTGATCAAAACCAATAATCCAACCAAAATATATACTACGTTTTCCTGTAACATTATTTCAAATATCTTTAAGTACAAAAAGGGTAAATTTCATAAGACCAACAAAATAAATAAAATGTTATTTAACTTAAAATGGTTAGTATAGGTGTTTACAAGTTAGCATTTACATAAATTAAACTGGTCAAGAACGGCGCAGTCATTCGACCTATTTAATTTGGTAAATTCTTACTAATGAACCAATTAAGTTTTACTAGACCGATTAACAACTAGCTATGATGGCTAGTTTTCTTTGCGTCTTCCTAGGCGAAGATACGATTATATGCTCACTTATCGAGTATACATACGCCGACACGAAGTCATGATACATTTCACAGGCAAAATAACGATAATTTTTATAAAAATTATATAATTGAACAAATATAACACATATGACACACAGCTTTATACTAAGCTGAAGACAATAAAGGTCTGATACATAGAGAATAGCATGTTTTTCTATTTAACCATGTAACACATAATAACTGTCAAAATAACAAAATAATCAACTTTTAAATAGCGAATTTCGTTAAAAAGGGGGATTTTTGTTCAAAGAAATAATTCTTGAAAACAAATTCCTCCGCCCCTGAAACTTAGAATTTGTAATTGGCGGCCATTTTTTCTTACGACTCGGATAAAAGATACAACAGAATGTAGGCCTAATACGATAACATTCTTACCTTTAATTTAAACATCGATCCAAAAATCCGCTTAGAATCACATAAACTAATCTTTTATACTGCAATTTTTGTCTTGAATTGTCAAATTCAGAAGTTCACGATAATTTCAATCAAAGAAAAGTCAAATCGGCAATCAAACACAAGCTACACAAACATGCGTCTTATTTTTTAAACGAAACAATTTGTTCACTTATTAAATAATAATCCGGCGAAATAAAGTAAACATTTACAAGTTCTCAAAGAAAATCGTCTAGCCTGTTTGTTATGATTACATGTATAGTATGACGTGAACATCGATGATGTCATTTGCAATATAAATTATGACGTCACTTCATTTAGTTGGTGCTAAAACTAATCGCTATCTAATTCATTCGTAATTGAAATCAAAATAATAAATAAATAAATTTCGCATATTGATTTAAGACTTGTAAGGGTATGAGATTACATTGTAACATTGTAGACTTCATATGCTGATGAAAATGAGAATATAAGCAATTGAAAAAGTCCGTTAAAATGGGCGGGGCTAATTTTTGATATCAGGTTACTGACGTGATATCAAAAATAATTATCAGGCAAGTGTTATCGGGCAGTTACCATAGCAGTTGCATGATACAAATAATTATAGCCTCTGACACATGTCAAGTACAGAGTGTATAAGTAGATAGAAAAATCCTTGTTACATTGTACGTTAAAGTAAGAACCGAGAATGCTGATGAGGAGTGTACCTGTTTCAGACAAGAGGTAAAGGATCACGGTCTTACCGTTATCAAAATTTTAAGAACGTTATTTACCGGTGAATAAATTCATTCTGTGCTTTACTTGTTTTCATCTTACGCCAATGGTATCAAATGTACAAAATGTGTCAAGAGCAACAATCTCAAAGATGTTTATAGGATAGGAATAGAACATTTTATTATAGAATTTTTTATTTCCGGTGTTTACGAACATGATTACACATAAATTGATCTAGGTATCACCAATAGCACATTTTGACGCACGCAGGCCTAAGTACGTGATATTGTACATAGTTAAAAGTTCTTCCTAAATATGGTCAAAAGACTCCTCCATATCAACCAGTTGATGACGTATAAGCCTTTGGGCGGCGTGGAACATTTAATCACTGTGCTGCGCCACTATTGACCTTTCTAATTTTTTAAATACTTACTAATGAACACTACTCGATACTCAACTTATATGTCAATTACTCTTGACGTGGTATAGGCACTATTTTATTATTTTATTATAATGTGAAACACATTTTACAAAATAACAAAAGAATTTATTTTTTTTAGCTGATTCATAATGTCAACAACTGTTTTCATAAGTTAGTATGACCATAACTAGTAAGTTTTAACATTAAAAATTTGGTATTTTCAAAAAAATACTACTAGTTGGTGATTTTACCAGGCAATTGGCTTATATTAACAGTTTTAAATGAAAATTTATGTTCAAAGAAGTTCTAAATTACCACTTAAAACATATATAGATATACTATTCTTGAGATATAGATACTCGTTTGTTGCAAAGTATGAACATTCATGGAACATTGAAAATGTGAAGGTTCGTTTTGGTTTAATCAGTTAACAACGGCAAAGGTAAAGGAAATCTACCACAAATGTCCCCGAAGAAGAAGTTAAATGAAATTTGATATTGATCTATCAAAATTGTGTAAATTTTAGGATATCCGCAGATGTGTTTTAAGGCGGTAAACATGAAAATCTTAATGTGACGCGTTCGTTCCATTCCACAAAACGCGAGAAGAAGAATGAGCGCTTTACTATAATCAATAAGGGACACTTTTAGTTTATGAAAATATGAAATAAGTAAAACATAATTTAAACTTTGATTTAAAAATTGAGGAATTAAAAAGATTATTTGCTTCATGGTCAAAAGACTAATCTCTCCATAAGGAAAATTAGTAGTTATAAAGTCTTTGGCCTTGGCAAAATTGAACCACCATTTATTAAGCATTCCTAATCCACCTACTGAAAAAATCAATAAAATTCAAAGTTTATTTTACAAATTTTTATGGAATGATGGTATAGATAAAGTTAAAAGAAATATTATTACTCAAGATTATAAATTCGGTGGCCTTAAAATGGTAGAATTGAGCTGTTTTATGAATAGTTTAAAATTGACTTGGTTAAGACGTATTGTTTATAATGACAATAAATATAGTCAGTTGGTAGAAAGTACTTTGCCTTGTATACATAATATTTTTAAGTATGGAACTGATTTCATAAAAACAAAACTAAGTTGTGATATAAATCCTTTTTGGAAAGATGATATGAAAATTTATAGAAGTCTTTCTTTGAAGGTTTAGCCAAAACAAGTAAAGATCTTTACTCTATTAATTTATGGTACAACCCTGGCATAAAAGTTAGAAATTCTTGTGTTCATCTAACTAGATGGATTAATGGAGGAATCCTATTCTTAGGTGATTTGATCAGTCAGACAGGTGATTTTTATTCATTCAATGAATTTGTTGAAATATATAACATAAGAAGCAACTTTCTAGAATATAGGGGGATTATTAGAGCACTGAATGAGTTTTTAGAAAGAATTCATGCCAGAGATCTACCTAAGGGATATAAGTATAATGTACATATTCCTCAAACACTAGGCATAATTCTTCATGATAAAAAAGGTTGCCAACAGATTTATAAAACTATGATTGAAACCGGACAATATCCTAACTCTCTTTGAAATGGAAAAATGATTTAACAGAGGCTGTAGAAACTGAGTTTCAATTTAATTCAATATATCAATTTAATTCAATATATGAATTACCATATAAATTTACAAAGGATTCAAAATTAATCTGGTTCCAGTTTAGACTGAACCACAGAATACTTGCCACAAAATATTTGTTGGAAAAAAAAGAACATTGTAAATAACGATATATGCACTTTTTGTAAATCTGAGAGTGAAACTCTTATTCATCTTTTCTATGATTGTGAAATTGTCAAAAACTTTTGGAGAATATTACAAAATTATGTCAAAGATAAATGCAATATTACTGGTGATGATTGGAATGTTACTGACATTCTTTTTGGTAATACAAAATATGACAAAGTCATAAATGGTTTGATTTTAAATGGAAAACATTACATTTACTATTGTAGAGTTAAACAAATAAGGCCTTCTATTGCTAATTTTAAAACTCAAATATATGCCAGATATACAGTTGAAAAATACATAGCTAAACAGAATCAAACATATGAATTGTTTCAGAAATCATGGCAGAAATACAAAAACCTAGCAAATTTTGAATAGTGTTTGTGTATTCTGTGTATTAATGAAGGTTTAAGTCATGTATTATTATTCTACAACTTTGCACTTCACTGCTGCGGCACCGGGAGACACCACCAAAAATCTAAAATTCCCTATTATTTGAAATTTCAGATTTGAATCTGAGATAGAAATCCATCTAGTAGATTTTACCGAACCCTTTTTATTTTCTCCATTTTTTATATCCTTTTTCTTTGAAAAGAATATTTATCCCATAGGTACAAATTTAATATATTGGTTAATACAGGTTCAATTGAAATCAATGTATTTGTACTGATTAATATGGTTTCATATGAAATTACTGTATTTGTGTTGATTGATATGGCTTCATTTGAAACTATTGTATTCGAACTGATTAATATAATCTCATTCAAAACTGTTGTATTTGTACTGATTAATATTGCTTCATCCAAAACTACTGTATTTGCACTGATTAAAATTGCTTCATTTAAAATTATTATATGTGTACTGATTAATGTGGCTTCAATTGAAATGTATTTGTACTGATTAATGTGGTACTGGTACTGATTAATATAGTTTCGGGTGAAACTATTATATTGGTACTGATTAATATTGCTTCTGTCGAGACTGTTTTGTTGTTTGTTGTTTTTTTTTTGACTGATTAATAGGGCTTCACTTGAAACTTGTGTATTTGAACTAATTATATAGTTTTCATAGGAGACTATTATACTTGTACTGATTAATACTATTCATTTGAGAATATTTGTTTTTATACTGATAAATATAGCTTCATTTTGAAACTAGTGTATTTGTACTGATTAATCTGACTTCATCTGAACATAGTGTATTTGTACTAATTAATATGGCTATATTTGAAACTATTGTATGTGTACTGATTAATTTGGCTTTAATTGAGTTTATTGAATTTGTATTGACTATGTACTTTGATACATGATTACAGTCAAACCTGTGATCAGGGTCGCACGGAGGAGAAATATAACATTTCCTATATAGACAAGAAGAGGTCTTTATCAAGAGAATCCTTTATCTGTTAAGCACTGTAGTGTTAGTTAGGGTGGCTTTTGTCATGAAAATGAATAATTAGTTGGGTGGTTTGGACACAGTTTTGACTGTTTATTGATTGCCAATACATTATATTGACCAACAAATATTTCTGTTACATATGTTTTGTACAATATGGGAAATAAAATGTTAATTACAAAAAAAGAGTAAAACATAATTTAAGGATAATATACATCAACAAATTGTTTTAGAATATTCAAACGTCTGAAATGAATGTCAATGACTTTTGTATTTTTTTCTCCAATGAAAATGAACGATCTATCATGATCATAAGTTCAAAATAAGAATACTCACATCTTTTTGATCATCTCCAGGTTCATGTTCAAGCCTCCTCTCATAGATATTGATATCATTGCTAGAATTTTCATTACTGCTATCTACCGATGTTACATCAAAATTTTCTGATTCATTATGTTGTGGTGGGCCATCATCATCGTTCTTGAAATCGAATCCAGTGGAGCTAGTAGAAAAAGTATGTCTTCGCGATTGCAGATGAGTCTCGTTACTCTTGTTTAGTTGTTCATTCTCTGGTAAATCAGCTCCCGATACTAATAGTTTCTTTTCTTTTCTAGCAGCAGTTATTTTATTATAAATAATACGCTCCTGTTTTTCTAATTTTTCTAAACATTCATTCTGTTTAGTATCTTTTAGCGAATTCTTGAAGGCGTTGTAACATTTGTAGTTGGTTTTTACTCTATCTAAAATTTGTCGAGTCTTCTGCGTTTTCTTGTTTTCATCCTTAAATGTCATTAATTAATACATGAATTTGCAAATTGGTTGAAACAGAACGGATCTTTAGATGCATGTCAAATTCTTAACACAAAGATGCAAACGAATCTAGAGAATAATACTATATACAGAAATTCGAGCTATCGACACCGTAGCATGACGCTTTAGACCATAAAGCGAAACAAATGAAATCCTGACGCAGTGGTCAGGGGTGATATGTACTGTCAATGCACTCATATCTAGAAATCTATTTTTATTAATATGTTAGCTATCAAAATCGGATTATATAGCTGACTTGTTAGATATGATTTACCTACATTATAACTGTGTAATTATCTTGTAATACTTATTTTATTTCATGTCCAATACTATGAGATTACCATAGATTGTCGAGTACAATTCTATTGGACGAGTGAAGTACACAGCTGTACAGTTACGTGCCTCGTTCGGTATACGAAGCATTGTGCACAGCTGTGTATTGGTATTGTACTGAACAATGTATTGAACTCTTTTTCAAACAACAAATTTTTAACATTTTGACAGAACTTTATAATTTTGTTCACACAAGGTTTTGCTTTTTGTAAACTTGGAATATCAAAACGAGACTGAACAGAATATTATATAGACTTAATTTCTTTTACACTCGTAAAATAGAAATAGGATTCAATAAATGATTCATATTTAGATATATTATACACGGAATTTCATAGGTTACGTCAGAGACATTGATAACATGTCTACATCTCTGGTTACGTTTATCTACTGTATGTATAAAATACAGACGAATATATTTTTTGTTATATTTGATTAGTATCTGCTGGTACGAATGTTAAACTATAAACAGCGGGGTTTATAGGGGGGAAATGTACCTTGATATCTTGCAGGACAGATTGATCGAACACATCATTTTCCTCCAGCTTATCTAATACAAGAACCGGATCAAGGCAGTTTATCATGTCTGATCTACTCGTTTGCAAAACACGTCTTACAAAATCTGTAACGGAAAAGAACAAAACATTTCATTAGTTATAATTGATGATAAAGGTACTGTAACAAGAAGGTTGGCACTAATTTATGGATCCACCTGAGTCAAATCACTAAATTTCATTCAAAGACATATTTATTCTTTAAAAAATCGATTGAATCCAAACAATTCAACAATTAATCGAACTATTACTGACTTTAACCTTCTGACTAAGTTTGGTGAAGATGTTTCAGATGTTTAGTTTTACAGCAAGTTGCATTCTGTCACTATACAACTGTGACATACCTCGGAGTTCTTCTATGTCAAAACAGTTTTCTATATGCTTTGGTTCTATTCTGAATGCTTTTGAATGGCGTGGTCGGTCAAGAGAATTTGTTGCAAAAGACCGTGGTGACCTATTTACGTCATTAAGAAGATGATGTGGTAATGCATCAACGCTACTGAACGTAGCTTGTGATCCTTTCTCATACTTGGAAAGATTCAATGTTGAATTTGAATTTTGGTTTGGAGAAATAAACGGTACATTTTCTGGTACATTTTCTGACGACTGAAAATAAAAAAAATCATAAGCGTGAGACATATAAGTGTAAAACAAGTAATATTAGTAATACATGTATCTGTATACAATATTTTTCTATATTTGCTACTTAACTGACATATATTGAATGATGTAAGTGCTCCTTCTTAACCTGCTTAACTGACTCGATATTAAATGATAAGTACATTAACCCTTAGTACTATTGCCAAGAGGGTATCAACTTGTATCTTCACCGCTAATTTGTTAAGAAAGAAGCTTCAAAATAAACACTTAAAAGTAAGGTTACTAACATTGACAAACATAAGCTGACAAAACTATTTACTAATAGATAAGATTATCATAACAATGTTAATCTCCAGTTTCTATTTACGTTATTGTTATCTTTAAAATCTTTGATAAGTCAATGACACATAGTGAAAATCTGACTTCAATATATTGCTTCTTCATGCTTCAATTTTATTTGAAAAACTTATTACATGTATATATAAAGAAGATATTTACCACACTTGACTCTTCTTCACCATGACTTTCTATTGCTTCAATTGTTGTTAAATGTGTCAGAAGAGAGTTATTTGTGTCTTCTGCTGCTGCGTTAGATCTTTTACATGCCCTTACAACTTAACGAACAATAAACTAATTTGATAAAATTATATCGAATCCGTGTTAAAATGATTAAAAACTGTGTGCATGTGAATCATCATCATCATGTATAGGTTAGTGTGTAATAATACGTATTAACAAAAATAATTGGTCAAGCCTGCCGCAGGCAGGCGACCAATTATTTTTGTTAATGCGTATTATTAAACATTAACCTATTTAATGATCAACATTATTTTTTCAACCAAAAACAAGGTATTTCTCTATATCACCAATAGCTCCGCCATTTCGCTCTACATTATGTCTACACCTTGTCAAGTTTCTAACATGTAACATTTAGATAAGCTGAATAAATAGCCCTTTCAACATATAACCAGGCACATGTTGTACTAAAATGTCACAGTTTATACCTTTATCTACAATAAGACTATCATGTTAATATAAAATATCTGGAAAAAAGACAGTGAGGAAAACGATGCAATTAGGTAAAAACAATGGAGTTAACGAAATGTGAACATCCTTTCAAATAAATGGAAAATGTGAGAAAAATTGTATCATTTTATTCTTGATATTAAGGATTGTTAATGCAGTTCATTCCTATCAAGTGAAAGAAAATAATGTTTTGGTTACAATACTTTTTCTGGAAAATATAAAGTTTAAAACTGTCAGCAATTTATAACAGAAGTTTTTTTCCTTAGAGTTAAAAGGATATAAAAAGTTACCATATGTAAACATTTGTCTCTGCATGCCCCACATGTATTATCTATGTAATAAATTAATTGATTGTATCCTCACATTTAGAAAAATCTGACCTTGCCTATTTTTTTTACGTTGGCATTGTTTTGCTAACCTAGATATTTTACAATTCAGAGTGCAAACCACACCTCTAACTCCTCACATAATATAATGCATTATTTAAAATTGTTATATTGGTTAGACGACAGAATAAGTAAATTTTATTTAGTTAGTACACATTAACCAAAGTTTGACTCAGCAGAAATTTGAAAAATACTACTATGTGATTGGATTAAAATGATGTTGATCATTAAAACTCCAAACAATCAATACAAGCCATAAATATACATGTATAAAGAAAGTATGTAAATAATATCATTAACTTTTACATATCAAGATATTGATCAAATTAAAAGATAAAGAGTTTTGTAAAGATCAATAAGGAATTTCTACATGTTAAATATCTAAATCAAGATAGTGTAGTTTCACACAATGAAAATAAATCAAGTTATCCCTGGGATGGGGCCAATTTTGATCTCAGGAATCCAAAAACTGTATAATGCATATCGTCTCATTATAAGTCATTTTTTCTGCCAAAATGTTTTAATTTTTTCTATCAGTATTTGAAACGAAAGTTTGTTATTCATACATGATGACTAAGTGTGACCTTGATCTGAAGGACAAATCTGCGCTTTGCCCATTGTCTTATTATGGATGATATTTCTGCCTATTAGTTGTCATTTCCTTAGATAAGACCGTACACGAAAACTGTTAACAGACGGACGAATGGACGACCAGGTGCATTATTCAGGCGTTTAAAAAAAAGAAAGCTTAGCGTTCAACTGTAAAAGATTGAATATAAGCAAGCAACATGTCTTAAATTATTAAATAAGCTCTTTTGATAAAACCTTTGATAATTTTAGAGAAGGCATCAGAAAAATTACTATGGCAGCTTATAACCACATTTCAAAAGAAAAAAAAAATAGGCTTATTTATACCTAGTCGGAAATGAGATTTTTAAAATCACAATTAAATTTTAAAATTAAATCTGAATTATTATGGTAAAACATTAACGTAATTTATGATAGCGAAGTTTGACTATTTTAAATAGATATTGAGTTCATTAAAATCATACAGAAGACACCATGCCAAAGCTAATGAACTGAGAAATGCATTCCCCATACTCTGGTGCATTGCAGATCATATCCAATGTGGACAGTTAACGATATTTAAATCAAAATCATTATTTTATTATAGATTGTAGTTACTGTTCTTGTTAATGACAGACATCTTTAAATCTCAAAGAGATGTAATAAATGTTTGAAGAGTGTTTTTTTTTATATAATTTAAGTTCACTTTGAAATATTCTAGAAACCATTTGATCAAAATAAGGATTATATATATTAGATATCAGTATTCCCCTTGTTATGCCCCATATCGGTTATCTATACAAAAGACGAAAGGGGCTAGGAGCCTTGCACACTTCGTCAGAGTTCCAAATTGTATGTTTTAATATTAGAATTCATTACATAAGCCTTCTTTGATTTACATGAAAGAAATTAACTTTCTGTTGCAAATGTTTTCTTTCAATTAAAGACTATAATTTAGCATTCATAAGTTTGTGCTATAATGAAATGTCAAATGTACGGTAAAGAAATCGTAAGTACTAACGGACGAAGCTTGAAAATTATATCTAATATTTCACTCGAGTACTTTAATGACCTGAAGAGATGTTTGCACGTTCTTTCATAAACGATTTAACAATATCTATCTAATGGCATGCGCTTTAATGACTGTCAGACAAATTAAGGAAAAAATACTGGTAGTACAAGAATGAAACGGGCTTAATATGGACTTTTATCTTATTTCGGAATCCAAAACAATTATATTTTGATAACTTTTATTTTATTTTCAACAAAACAAATTAATAAAACTTATTTTAGGTACCGCAAGGTAATACTACATAGCAAAATATCTTAGCGCTGGGAATTGCAGTTTTTAAACGAAAGATTTACGTGTCTTTATGAATAAAGTGACCATATGGGCGGAACTTTAGACCTGTCCCAGGGATATGATTTATAAATCTTATGTAGAGTAACAAATGCGATGCTACATGCCAAAAGTGGGATTTTTGTTTCAAAAAATTTGGATAAGTAAATGGTTGACACACAGTTTTCAAAAACATTGATATATAGGTTACAATAATAAAGAAAAAATAAAGCATAGTTGAATTTTTGTAATGATGATATAATATAACAAATTTACTTTAGACGTAAAGACATGAATACTTATTAAGTCTATCATTTATCTGCTTACTAACTATGGGCATTTCTTGTCGTATTTTATACTAGAATGACTCACCTCTGACAACAAATATCACTGTCGATATTAACACTAAGGTGGAAACTACTGCATATACTATCAAAACAGTTGAACTGCCACCATCTGAAGAGGAAGCAAGAGCATCAATAGAAATTGGTTTGTTTAATATCCACAAAATTAACACAGTTACTTTATTATTGATTGACACATACCAACTATATATATATGAGATAAGTAGGACAAGTAGGTAGGTCAGACGATATGAAGTCTAATATTCATCCTTCAGACCCCTTGTATTCGTAGTGTCATTAAATTTCCAACAGTTTATTCATTTCATCAAGCATCTTCCATACTCAGGTTTTAACTCTGATGATATGGTTTAGTAAAAACATATACATTGTATAAGTAAAAATATAAATGGTGATCGGTATCAAAAAGAGAAATTTCATATGGCGGCAATCAATTTAATAAAGACAAGATTAATAAAAAGTCTTATGTAGAAAATTATAATTAAAAAGGACGATTTTCGTAGCCACGTTGTGCTTGATACTGGCCCACTCTGAAAAAATAAATGATTGGCCACATTACTGCTTTAATCCAATGAAAACCCTTGATTCAAGTGTTAGGGGAAATAAAACTATATTTAAGAATGGTAAAAGTTTTAAAACAGCAAGAAACGTTTAAATGTTTCCACTGATGCTGTCATTAATAAAAACATTAAAAACACGACAAGTTATTAGAATAAGTTTATTTATCATGTCACAGTTCATGCTAAGTAAAATTGAAAACAAATCTTACCTAAATCGGATGTGTTTTAACAGAAACATTGATAAATGAGTTTAATTTTATTACCTTGACTTGACGGTTGTGTTACAGATACATTTGCAGATGATACTAACACAGTTGTCTGATGTTTAGTTCTTGTAAACTGGCTTGTCGTTGTAGTGAAAGTCGATGACGGCATTCGAACAGACGATGTTCTGCTGATAATAAAATGTGATAAGTTAGATTTCATTTTGACATTTCTTATAAATCTAATATTTGAACATTCAAGATAATTGTTTATACCTATAACACATAGAAGCAATAGAAAGAGGCCGAAAAAAACCTGTCTAAGTTTATACTTTATTCAAGTATTCATTTCAGTTAAACTGTTAATGACTATTTACCTCCTACTACGGGAAAATGTAAAATCAAATATTCTTCTAATTTGTCATATTCATAAACCAGCCGCTATCGCATTAAACAATAGTTGGTTTCGCGGAAAAACCAGCTCTAAAATCTCTAAACATTTATGAGACCTATAAGTATAACTAGAAAAATATCATTATAACAATTATATATAAATGCAAACTTTAATCACTTCATTTTTTATTTAACATTCTGGCAAATTTGACTGAATTAAACAAGTAAAAAGTTCCATTTTAATATTGATAAAGCACAACCCTCTTTTGTAAATTAAAAATGTCATGGCCTCTTAAACAAAGGAGCTAAACTCAAATCCCTTCATGTATCTCTGGCATTGTACTTTTAAATTTAGCCAACGAGGCGCTTGTTACATGATTTTCACATGACATTTTAATTTAAGCACTCTACATGTTGTATGTAAAAGCTTTAAGATTTTTTTTGTTTACAGTATATATATTTTTGTTTACAGTATATATATTCACATTTTAATGCTGTAATTTAATGACTTTTTTAAGGTAATAATATTTTATATCAAATAACACTAAGTAACAAAATTTTTAACATATATTTCCGTTACTGTGCATGGTTTTCATATGACAGTAGCAGACATGTCTGTCAGGAACTAAGTTTAATTGGACAAAAAGCTCATAGGAACTTCTAATGAATAATAAAGTGCTCAATTAGTGAAAAATTTGAGATTATGTTGGATTCGATATAAGATACTAAAACAATACTGTCTATTTCAAAAGTCTTTCGAGCATCATTTGCTACACATTGAATGTATAATCAGTGATCACAATCGTCGCCTCGTGTTGAAATCAGGGTCATAAGACAGTTCAAAAGTCACTCAACCGGAAAAGCAATTAAATATGCCTAAGGAGTTGAGGTACTGATTAATCTTGTAACATTACATTTAAATTGCATATAAGAAGTAAAAGAAAACCAACTGCATCCATAAAATGGGAAAACATATTTAATGACAATGAAATAGATTGGAAACCAATATTTAATATACCTTTTAAGTCTACAATCGACACCAATCTTCGTACATGTAGTTTTCAATACAAATTTTTAATGCGTTTAGTCCCAACAAATAAATATCTTTTTAAATGCAAATTATCATCTAGCAATTTGTGTGATTTTTGTTCTATGGAGATAATATATATTGAACATTTAATATGGGAATGTCAATTAACACAAGTTTTCTGGAATAAAATTCAAACATTTTTATTCTCTAAAGGTTATGAAATACCTCTAAACTTAAGACAGGTGTGTTTCGGTATATTAAGTAAACATAACACGGTAAATTTTATCATAATTCTGTGTAAATACTTCATATTTAAAATGAAATATAGCAAAAATATACCCACTTTTGAAAAATTAATGCCATTTCTCATTTACAGGATTAGAATTGAAAAAGAAATATCATTAATACAAGACAATCTACAAAATTTTGAAGAAAAAATGGTCAAATTTCAATGAAACTTAACTTTTACAGACCCAAAACCACACAATTTAGACATATAATTTATGCATATGCAAATAGAAAAGGAAACGATCTTCAATTCTTAACTCCGTTTAGTCCGTTCCTTATATTTTCTCCATTTTTTTTTTAAAATATATTTTTTTTACTAAGTATTAGCTTTGTAAAATATCATTATGAATGTAATTTTTTTCAACTATCTTTTAATAGGGACATAACTAATCTTTATCTTTTCTCTCTCTTTTTTTCCTCCTCATTCTTCATTTATCTTTCCTTTCTTTATACACTTTCTTTTCTCTTTTTCATACTTACTATGCACTTTATAGTACTATCAGTTTTTCTTAGCACTCATTTTCTTCTGTCAAAATCTTTTATAAAAAGATCTTAACATACTTGTCATAATCTGATAACATTGATTTGACATTATTTTTTATGTATTCATTACATGTACTATGATTTGAATGTTTGTATATTATGATTGAAAAATAAAAGAGAAAAAAAGAAGTAAAAGAAAAGTAGTTCGGACAAACTTTAAAAATTAGAATCGTTAAAGGGTCATAACTCTGACAAAAATCATTGAACAGGCAAAGACGACGATATGCACAGTCAGACTTTTTACTGATCATTTCTGTAAAGTTTGAATGAAATTGCACCACTTGTTTTTTGGAGAAGTATTGCAGGTTTTGTGATTTTTTTTGTGTGTGACGGACAGACAGACAAACGGCAGAGAAGCGATCAATCCTGTATTAGTTCATTAAAATTACATCAGTAGTGTTCGGAAAAACTTTAAAAACATAAAAATCATTAAAAAGGACCTAACTCTGAAAAGAATAATTAAACTAAAAAATGCCGTTGACATGCACAAAAATACTTGGTAATGATCATTTCTATAAAATTTGGATGACATTGCACCAGTAGTTTTTTGAAGAGAAATCTGAACAAGTTTTGTGGCGTAAAGAGAACGGGCTTTCTTCCGAGCTTATGTGCGATCTTATTTGATCTCGAAAACACAATAAGCAACATATTATCATCTCATAAACAACCTTTTCCCCCTTAAGTTTTGTCTGTACGGAATGAGACCATGCCACTTAAGATTATGTGGATTGATAGATGACGGATGAGTGATCCCTGTATGTCTCCACTACTCTTTCGCAGGCGACATAAAAATCATTTCAAAATTAAACGAAAAAATGGTGCGGATATTAAACCTTCAAGGGTCGTGATCGTTCGTTACTTTCCGGTTTTCTGACAATTAGATATTCATATCGACAACAAAGAGACACTGGAGCTTTGGAGGGGATGTAATACTAGAGCTCGAAAAGATTACATTTACTGCTATTTTACTCGTCTAAAAAGCGGCTTTTGCATATCGTTTAGAAAAATAGTCATTCGATTAAAGTTTTACGAAAACATATTGGACGTAGAATTGTAGGAAATATTCAAAATGGTATAGTTAGATTGGAATATCTTAAGAACACTCCTTAGGGAAACATTGAAAATGATGTAAGCTATGTTTGGTTTAGCTTGTTCATGGAAGGTAATGGTTAATGAAAACTGTCAACTACACTCTTGCACCGGCTTAAAGGGAATGGAACATTTAAATCTTTAGCATACCTATCACAGAATGTAATAATAACCCTTGCACATAAGTCAAGAACCAGAACAGTGGCAAAACCTGAATTTTTCTTATAATAAAATGAAAAAGCCTTTAGAGTGAAGGTCTGTCAAAACGTCATTTTTCTTTGATTACAAAATTTGAAAGTTTGGCCCTAAATGTAATAAACATGACTTTAAAAGCATTCAAATCGTTAAATCATATTCACTTCAGGCTGTATGATGATGATGTTGTCTAACACGTCATTTGGTCCAATTGATAATAATATTCTTGCATAAAATTTTATAATTGATGGTCAAGGATACTTAAAGGTCAATGTACTCTTTAGTTAAGTCACATGGATGTTTTGTCCGAAGTGTTGCTACGACCAAATATAAATCAAATATGTATATTAATAACAAAATGTTCGCCTCATTAATGAAAATTTAGCAATTTGCATTGACTGTAAAATTCAAGGTCATTTTAAGGTCAAGATCATTGTTGACTTTTACGATTTCATCCAAAGTGGTGATTTGTTTAAATTGAATTAAGATCAGTCAATTATTAAAACAATTATGGCAATTTTAGCAAATAAAAGTTAGTCTTAATTGTCAAGGCGAGTTAAAGGTCAATGTCATACCTAAACTGCTCACCTTGATAATTGTATCAATTGTATCAAGTTGTGTCAAATACTTCCATCAATAGAATAAGTGATGGCTTATTTCAGAAACCAATCAATAATGTTACCATAGAGATCAATGCCATGAAAAGAAGGGGGGGCAAAATTTAAGAAATAAAAACTAGGGGCAAAGGGGAAGATACTTACCATAGACAAGAAAACAATAAGTGACACAAGCAAAAGTGTCACCAAAATAGTATGAAACAACAAAGACATACATCTGAGGAACACAGAGGGGCACCGCCTTGGAACGGTCAGCAGCACAAGCTTTGCTGGGGAGTTTAAACCGGTTAATGTTGCACCAAACCTCACTCTTAGCCCCACCATGTTCCTATAAACGGGACAGTGTTAATAAAATGAATCCCCGCCGAGTAAAATTCTATCAGGTGTTATGGTTACAAAAGGTTAAATAAATATAACACCGAAATGATTATGTAGAAACATATAAAAGTAAACCCAATGACCATAAGAAAAGTACTCAATGTCCTAAAGGAAGACAGAGCAACAAGAAAATCACCTACAAAGGCCCGACGAAGCAAGACAGAGGACGAACATTAAGGCAATTTAGTCCCAACGGGATTTAAGAACTGTCAATCATAGAGTTTTCCACTTGGTCCGTCAGCTGTAATCAAAAGAGAAAAGCGTAGCGTCCAACTGTAAATGGGTTGAACACTAAGCATGCGGTATGTCTTAAAATAGTAGGGTCATGACCCCTTTTAATAAAGCGTTTAATAATTTTAGTAAAGACAACAGAAAAATTCAATGACCCAAGATCTTACGAAATTTGTAAACAACATCCACGTAAAAATTTAAGGCTGGCTAATCCCTTGCCGCAGAAGTGTTTTTAGATCACTATTGAATTTTGAAATTAAATCAAAAATACGATTGTAAAATTTTGTGAAATATTTAAGTCCAGTTAAATAAAGTATAAATACATCGACGAATAACAAAATAATGGACAATTTTAGCGAGTTGAATAATTTGAAATTAAAGTTCAATGTCATTTTAGTTGAAGTCGAACATGAGAAAACTGTTGCTCAACGTGATAATTTTTATTATTCGTTTTTTACATTTTACAAATGTTGTATGGTATGAAAGACATGTAATTAAGACAATTTAAAGGATATGTAGGACTGATACATAAAGACGGATAGAAGAGAGTACATAAAAAAACTCGATTCTATGTAAATAAACTTCTTAAAATTCTTTCCACTACTTAATTATTACAAGTAGACACTAAATGAGGGACGTAATAAAATGAAATTCAACTGGGTATATATACATGTATTCAACAGCTGTGTAAGAACACAATTCAAATCTTATCTATGGCAGCAACAGTTAATTACCTTTCAATCATTTATAGTCTACGAATATTTATTTGTTTAGTACGTGTAATTTAAATGATATTGATACTATTGATACTTACCTGGTATGGAGAGGCACACATTCTGACACCGAGTTGTTGTATTTGTAAAATCCATCTTCACATTCACACGTGTAATCTTGAAATAAAAATGATATGTTAAAATATGAAGAAGAAAAAATTCCTTCATAACAATTACTAGGTTTAATTAAATAGTGTTTGATTATAATTTACAAACTGCACGAATTTCTCATAATTTGGTAGTATGCGATGTCACTTTCTGGTGACTGTACCGGACAATAAAAATGTTCAACAACTTGTTTTCTTTTCACATACTGTTACACTTAAAATATTACGTTATGTCTTAATTGCATATGTATGTTACTGTTTATTTCAAAATATATCAATAAAGTAAATCGTGTTGGTCCAATGTTTCCTTAACACGTGTTAATTTATATGTCAATAATTGTTTTGTCATTGTCATTGCCATTGTAAAACTTTGAAAGACAACGGTAATGATCATTAATGGTTATCACCGCAATAAACTAAGAACATACAGGTTGTATAAGATGTGGTGTTAAGCTATTAATATACCGGTGTCAGAAAGAGTATGTCCATTTTGTATTGAGACAGAAATGTTTTTTACAATGTCTTTTATACTGTCAAATACGTGACGTCATTTATGAGAAAGCTCAATTTGTAGATGATGGTTTTTAAGATATGTCTGATATTGATAAAATTGTGTTCATGTTCTCCAACCCAGACATGGTTAGAATTCTTGCAAAATCCAGAAAAAATAAGTACACGGAAATCGCGACACTAGTTATGCTTTATATTCAAAAGTACATGAAAAGCTACACGAAATATGCAGTGAAGGGAACACGAATATTCAAGAATATTTCGAAAACCCGGTCGTGACGTTGCAACAAACCTACGGAATACAATAACACAACTTTCGGAGCTCATCCGTCCAATATAGTTAGGCAGTATATGTTGGAATGCAAATAGAACCACTTTCATGGATGAGATGAAATAGATGAAACATGTCAAAGACAAACATCAAACAATGGATAAAGTAAAGAAAAACTGCAAACAAAAATATTTAAAAGTGTCTGAATAACAAATAAAATCAAAACACTAGACAACAGAGTCTGGGAATTAGAATGTCAATTCACTACTTACACAGAAATAACCAATAGAAGAACTATAATGGATTATGAATATATATGAAAGAAAGAAGAAACAGCATAGAAATCATCAAGCAAAATATGATTGTAAGCGCAGAAATAGAAAATAAATTTAAAAACATAGAAACGAGGTCAATGGAGAAAACGTAATATTTCATGGAATTGAAGAGAAAGGGAAAAATGAGAATCGGCATGAACTTATTGAACATGTTTCCGAAAAACACCTAAAATGGATGATACTACAGAAGATAACAACCGTGAAAAAGAAAAAATACAATTATCAAAGGGAGGCAATATGGGAAAAGGAGCTTCAATGAGAAGCACGAGAGGCTAGGAAACATCTTACCCGGATTTGAGGTCAAAGATAAAGAAAACATAGGCAAACATTTTCTTGACGGGGGGATATATGGCGACATAAAATGAATAACTTTAAAATAAAAAATTTTTCGTGAAAAAAAACATTTTTTTCAGAAAAAAAATTTGCGTGTTTTAAAAAATTTTAACAGCATTTTATTCCTGGGCTATTTAATAACTAAAATTACACGTGTCATTTCAGAAATTTGACCAATTGTTAGGGGGGTGGTATTGGTATTTTTCACCCGGATCAGGCAGTAAGCCATTGAATTAAGAACGGTAGCCCCCCTTTTTTCCGGGGAGGCTGTCAACATGGTCAAGCAGTTCACAGTACCATTTTTGTTTAAATTTTCGAAAAATTAATTTCTGTACATGCCAGAAGAGGTTCAGGCGAATGCCCGAAAAAAGTTTTCAGAACAATCACAAGAAAGGCCTGAAATTTTCGAAACAACCCCGGTCCCCCGTTTCAAAGTTCAACGTTTAACCTTACCTACTGAGCTTACCGGACGGCTATGAAAGACAACGATAATGATCGAGTATATTTGTACCTGTTAATCCTACCTTTGTTTTCTTGTCGCGGGAGACATAGTGGCACACCTATACATGTATAATATTTCGCATTTTGATTAGACCACAGATTTTTTATTTTTGTAAAGGAAAGGTCATAAGACGCTGATTAGGTCTAAAAATACTAATCAACTCCACTTTTTTAATTTTAAGATTAAATTTAATTTAGTACTATATAAAAATGTGTCATTTCTATCCACTGTATACAAAAAAATCTTCTTTTTGCCTAATTTGTCAAGTATGTCTTAAATTTGGTCATGTATTGGTAATTTCTTAATTGTTATATAAGATACTGTAGATTTCGCACTTTGATATCATTGCTTGTTGATCAATAAGTCGATCAACCTTGATTTCTGAATTACCTACCAGTTATTACATATATCTCCGTAAGTAACCGACTTCTTTATCACATATGATGATGAGAGACAAATGATCATTATTATAATTTAGAGTTCGAGATCAACTATCGTGGAGAAATTTGCCTAGCCCGAACCAGCGACCACTGGGTAAGTAATTCGATGCTGTCCCTATTTAGTGAACAGACTAAGAAAGATAGAACACAAAATCTAACATACTTAATAGCATCCTTTCGGATGGCCCACACCTTCCAATTTTGCAGTCATAATTTTTGTAACTACATCCGTCAGTTGGGTGATCATCCGGATCTGAGATGGGGAAATAGCCATTTTCCGAATCACATCTACATAACCGGTCACTAATTTCACTTGATGACTTTAGACACTCTATTTTATGGGTGTCATGTGTGCAAATGTTTCTTTTCACTTCTGGACATTCTGAATATGTTGCAGATGATTTATTTTGATTGTGATTATAACGGTTATTGTTGTAACATAGCACACAAAACACATCAGGCTTCTCAACTCTAACTTGATTCTTTATAAAACTCAACACTGGTTCTTCACCTATTGATATAAAGTCAAATTAGGTATTCTATGATAAAAGCCCAATAAGAAAGAAAATAATTTATTGGAACAGAACAAATACTATCACGAAATGAAATAATTTGTCTCAATCTTTACTTCGCTTTTATTAAATAAAATAAAATTTTTGATTATCGTTTAACCTGTTTAGCAAGATAAAATAACCCATTTTAAAATTAGTTTCCAATATATATATATTAATTTGTTGTTTTATTTAGAACAATGTTATCTAGAATGTTGAATCAATTGTTTTTATTTAGATACAACAAATTACTTAGAGTGTTTAGTTAATAATTGTAATATCATGTGATATATAAAAGCATCTATATGAATATTACATATTGGAGAAGAAATAAACTGTTTTTCCTACAAATTTTGCAAAATTTTTAACATCCTCGACGTAAGTTATCTTTGCAATAAACATGCCCTTGTGGAATTTTTAAATTTGGGGAGTCTAGTCCTTAAACAAAAGTATTTTGATCAGCTTTACAGTTTTTAAATATGCCCGTAATTCCATTTTGAAGTCAAAAGGTGGGCAATATTTCCTGGTCTAGAGCTTGCAATTTGGGGATGTTTGCCCGTTGATAATTTGGGCCTTTAAACAATATTTACAAAAACTAATTCGGGGTAAAATTTCCTTACATCATCTTTTGGTTTAAAATGCGGGAAAAGTACAAAGGAAAAAGAACCGAAAAGTTTTTTTAGGATTTTTAAAAAAAAATTTTGGAAAATGTAATCAGTTAGTTTTATCGTTAAAATTTTACCCTTTCGTGCTCATCGAGGGCAAAAGGAACCCCGGGAAAGCCCCGAGGAAAAAAAATATTTAAAACCCACTAAACATGTACGTTACAAGGTTATTTCACGGGAAAACAAAAAGACAGACAGAGAAAACAGCTGCAAGAAAAGTGCGCATTGTGATTTTGCGCATCACTTAGCTTTGCCACTTCTGTTATTAAATTAAACTTCAACAAAGTTCATCAGGATAATACCATATCACATGCCTTAGCTATGATATAAGTCCATTTTGTTTCTAAATTAGATATAACGTATATCATATAAGAATCCTTTTCATGCCATTCCATAACAGCAACATTCTAAAATGATGTTTTACAGTATTAAAGGAAGTTGCCCGCTAGACAGTGAATGAGGTAGGTAATTTATTAAGCTTTAATTCGTCATCAGTTTTTTTATTTACTTGCTTTTAAGGTTAATTAGATGTTTGCCTGGAGTAAACCCAACATTTTTGTTGATTTTAAAAAGAGGGAGCGCATGCGAATTGCGTCGTAGCTGCTCTGCATGCACAAACAATCTTCCCGTTTATGTATGAAGACGGTTGTGATTGGTAAATGGATCAGTGGCTATAATGTTACAAAAAAGGTGTGCTTCGGTGAAATTGTCTAAAGGCCCGTACAGCTCGTTTCACAAAATATGATGAGCAAGATCAACAAGTGCAGCGTTCAATGAACACAACCCACACACGACCCAGCAACACAGGACCATCGACAAGGAGCTAAAGATCTTTTACGTTGCGATGTGCACTGAAGTCAGGTCCTCATTGACAGCGCTTCCGCAAATAAATCAGTCATGGTTCATTTTTAGTTACTTATAGTATCTTTAGGTCCTAATTCGCCCATCTTCGTCATGTTTATCTGTCTCTGTCCGTTTAGTAATCTTTAAGTGTTGTTGCTTTTGGGTACTGTGGGGCTGCGTTCGTGAACGTTTCTTTCCCTTGTTGATCTTAGCGAAGATAGCCTTAAGACTTGACCATATTCCAAATATAGCCATACACTTATCCAATGGAATCGTAGCTCATCCATACATTAAGAACTACATGAGATGAGATGTCACCGCTTCAAACCTCGTCACGCCGTCCGCAGTGCAATGTTGCAGTATCTGAACACTATACCAAAAGAAGCTTTCCGAAATACTTCCAACGTCATACGGCGTCTTAAAATGTTAATCCGAGTACAAGGAAGAACACTTTGAAGGGTTGGACTAACAGTAACACAGCAAAATAGTAGGAAGAAGAAGATGATAGGTACGCTCCGGTTATTCTGTTGTGCATAGTATCAAGCAAAGTAGAAAAGTATAGTTTAAAAATGTGCTTGACAGACTTATATGCCTTTGACAAAGTATAAGTATTGCTTGTAAAAGTAATAAGTAAGCACATATCTTTACCATTGTGGTTGAGCGGATGCATATTTGCGGTGTGATCGTAATAGGCTACATGGGTTCAAATTACTGAAGCCTATGCATCTCTTAGCTCCAGAAGGTGAGGTGGTTTTAACCCCGGTGTTGCTTAGAAATTGTAACACCCGGGCTTAGCCAAGATCATCTTGAATGATTGGGTGCCCTTTTACCAAATTGTGTTGGTGCGCCACAAAACAAAACAAAGTACATATCTTTGATTGTTTACGAGAAATACAAAATGACATAATGAAAAGAAACATGAACACTTCAAAGTAAATAGCTCTAATTTGAGAAATGTATTTAAAACAAAGAGTCATAACATGAAATAACAAGTTATCAAAAATGAAGAATAAATGATTGAGCAAAATGAATTATAAGATCACTTATAGAAAACTACTGTTTTGTTACTTTGTCAATTATTTATAGTTCACCAAGTTTGCGAAAAGTTTTGATAGTAAGAATATTGCAATACTTTCAACAGTGACAGTTAAAGTGGCAGTTGGTCATTTTTTCGTTGTCAGATTTACTGTTCCGCGCACGGGTCGAATGTTTCACTATCGCTCACTTTCTGACGTGAAGTAACATGAGTGTATTCACTGAGCTGCGAAGGGGGCTTATGTCAGATTTAGCTAAGTTGACTTTATATTTCAAAAGATTGACTTTTATAAAGGTGACTGGATAACAGTTGATATTTCAAAATGAAATGAATCTACCTAAAATGTAAAGACTGCCGACTCTTTTTTTTATAAAATGAACGTTAAAAGAAATTTCGATGGAAATGTACAAAAAAAATTCTTGTGCCACGCAAGTTTATATCGTTTATGCAAAGTCAATTATAATAATGGTCATATTTTCGTTCATCTATAGAGAGACTTACAACTTTGGACAACAATGCGGTGTGCCACAAAAACTGTGAACAGTATCTGAGTTTAATACGCCACTGTTCGCCTCTATATTTTGCCAATTTTATTCTCAAAGCTCGTAAGTTTTACAGTGATTCATCGCTTTTATACGTTTCCCCATGCATTTGATGAGCATCAAATCGTTTACCGGGTATCTACCAATTTTTTCACTGTCAGCGGTTCGAGAAACATCGTTTTGAAATAAGTAAATAAATTTCGCATTGGAGGCATTAGATGCACGTGGTAAACATCTCTTGCCTTTCTATTGGATTGCCTTTTGTCCAGACATTCCTTGAGTAGCTTTTACTTCAGAGAATCATTTCATCAAAGCCGTTGAAAACATGCCTAGGGAAGGACGACGCTGCCAACCTCGCCGCTCCGATGGTAGCCAGGCCATGCAGAGATACAGCCCATCCACATGGTCAACCAAGGAGACAGGAAGTCCAAATGGCATTGGGAGGAAATGTTGACTTTCATTTGCCAGCGGCGATCCCATAAGCTTGCCTTGACCAGAGAGGGGAAGGTGTATTGACAATCACAGGCGGCAGTATCAGTGTTTGGACACCCCACCCCTATCTGCCCTATACTATAAGGTACCAAATACAAAACCACCGATGAAATTATATAAAAAAAAAAAAATTTCCACTATCAAAATTATAGTTATAGAAAGGTGTAAAGCCTACTATATATGTCCATCTATAACTATAATTTTGATAGTGGGAAATTTTTTTTTATATATAATTTCATCGGTGGTTTTGTATTTGGTACCTTATAGTAAGCCTTAGAGTGTTGAATTTTTTTTTCAGGGTTGTAGTAGGGGTCCAGGGGCAGATAGGGGTGGGGTGTCCAAACACTGATACTGCCGCCTGTGTTGACAATGACGTATGTCGACATACAGAATTTTCTCCCAGAACATGGTGAGTTACCTTTATCATTTTATAATTTACAAGAACAACAGCAAACATTCCGAACATTCCTCTCCATTCAAAATGAACACACGCATCATTTCTTTATAAACAAGGCAGTATCATCTTACAATTAATGACATACCGTTACCTTTTTTACGTCAATGAACAATAAACAATTAAGTGAACAATACGCATATATCAAAACTAGAAAAAAAAGTGTGATTTCTTAAATGCAATAGCAGACACCATAAATCAACAAATCATGAACTAAATAAAACATGTTTTTACCTGTTTATGACAAATCGATATTTATAGATAAAGATACCTATGATATTTACAAAAAAAACTTCAGTGTTGGAAAACCAAGATTGTTTAAATATAGCACTATGAAGTAAGTAAAGACGTAAATTTGGGTTTCCAAAATATTGCATAGCATTATTTTTCGTCCGTCCGTTTGTTTGCCCTTTACATTCGTTTATATATACATACTGTTTTTCTGAAAGATCCTGTATGTTCTGTGATTGATATTGTTACTGTGTGTATACCACACGTGCTAAAATTAATGTATGTATATACTTATGCAAATAAAACAATTTTCAAACATCGAAAAATATGTAGAATTAGTACTGCAAATATTTGTGCACATTATTTTTAATCAACAAATTACATGCATTTATTTCTTATTGGAAAATTTGACTAAGAATTTATAGAACATTAATTTCTAATTACCTCCCTTTATCTACATGAAATGGTAAATTCGGTAATATCTTTACAAATAATGCTTATTGGAACTTACAATGTTGACAAATCTTACTTTGAGCATCATACGTATGAAATAAAACCATAAAAAAATGTGTAACAGGATCTTTAAATAACGAAACATATGTTTTTTTCTAGAGTGAAGGAGCGCACATGAATGTACATGTGCTCGAAATGAGAACATTTCTGATGTAATGAAACTTGCGTTTCATGGACATCTGTCAAATGACCAATTTTAAAGGCAATCGGTCGCACGGGTTATATAACACTGTTTATAAAATGAAAAAAAAACCTAGAAGTGATCATGTTGTGTATATCAGTGTAAGCTGAAGACTTTTATTATCCTCGTCATGCCACCGTATCCTTTTAGGCTTAATTTGAAAATAATTTTCATAAGTTCTGGTTTTTGTTGTTACCTTCTTAGTTGAGATATGTGAAGCATTTTGCTCAGTTCTAGTAGTACCTGTTTACCTTTTTGTATTTTTCTCGATGTCAAGTCTCATTTTTATATTGGTATCAGAACATGTCATTGTAATTTGTGTACATACTTTGAAAGTAATTTGCTGAATTTGCTACTCAAAATTTATTTTCTTTGAAATTTGTGATTGTAGATTCATCAAAATCTACCATTTCCTGATTTCCAAATGCAAAGGACTCTGTATTATCCATTTAAATAACTATTGTCAGATTTTCTGTGCCATATATAAATAAGCCTTTATTTTCTAAAGATTTCCCATCATATTGGAAACATTTAAATCTATACTTCACAGAAATCGAGACCACATTGTTATCAATTCAATCTGGAAACAGTTAATTAATAATTATGTAATTATCTAGAAAAGTTTGTGTAGTAGATGATTACACATTGTTATCAAAATTAGTAAGAACAAATATGTAAGCTGTGAAATTGTTTTCGTTTGGGTAATTTTTAAACTACAAACTAACAAACTACAGAAAGAACCACTCGATAATTGACAGTTTGGTGACAATTAGAACAATGAAAAACACGATATGTGTTAACAAAATTAATTTTGGTTATCAGGCCGTTGTCGAATATTAGTAAACCTGCGCTTAGTGACTCGAAATATAGGAAAGACAAAAAAGATTAAAAACACTGTTGTCAGACTTACAATATAGAATTGCCATAGCTGGAAAATCATTCCCGGTGATGTCTATTGTTCATTTACTTTTCAGTCGTCACCACTTTTCTAAAAGCGAAACAAAGAGAAACTATTCGGTATGACAGAAACAGTTATTACAGTATCCTTAAAAACGATTTTATGTACAAGAAGCGTTTTCTGTTGTTTGTTTTATTCAATAAAACAATATTTTAGAAGCGATTTTAACAGAACTAAACCAAAATAAAACAAACAAAAATGCATCACAGAGAAGTACAGAAATGCGGTATCTAGTTCAACAGTATATAAATAGATTTTGATGATTTAATAGTTATATATTTACATTTCAACAAGTAGAAACGTGTACCTGTATTCACGCTATAAATAGTGTTTTTTCATAATAATGAGTGATCAGAAAAATGATACTTGAAACTCTTGAGACGATACAAACACAATAATACGTCGTTATATGTCGTTCATATTGTAATGAACCCGGCGGAAGCGAGAATCTAAAACAAGAAGAACTTTTGCCGAGCCAATTAATATGCTTTTGTTTCATACATGATTAAAATGTTAATTGAAGTTACAATCATTTTAGATGAATAAAAAATGTTCAATCTGATCTGAGCAATAGCAATAAAAAAACTCGATTCCGACATCAGAATTATAAAACACATTTTTTATTAACAGGTGAGTACAATATTAACTTTACCACGCAATGTACATTACAATACACATACATACATTTATTAATGGAGTCATCATA